AAGAGAATCTCTCTTGTCGTATATACGAACGACTTTAACGTTGATTATATACTTACTGAAAAGAATTTACGTCGATTCCGGACAGAGGAAACTGGCCAAGCTCCCGCTCGAGTGTCTCCAGAACTGCAACCGACGCGCGTTGCAACCGGCGGAGAATACGAATTAGTGCGAGGGGTCGCAAGAGAAGGGGAGACAGCCGAGGCAGAAGATCGATTCGGCTCCGTCGGGGCACGTTTATTTGACGCTTCGTCCCGTGGTCCCCGCCGCCCGCGGATTTATTATCCGAGCTTGACGCGCGACAATCCTCCCCAGAAGGACGCACTCTTTACGTTCGTTCGATTATCGTTTGATTCACTAACGAGTGAAGCGATAATTAAAAGCGAGCGAGAAATGTATAAATTTCAACGTATTTCAAAAAATATATTAAAATCAAACTCCAATTTTTCCACACTGTATAAATCAATAATCGTGTTACATGAATTAGAAATTGTATTGCAGCGTCACGAAGACGCGCACGGAGTCACGAAGTCACGAAGAAGTGCACAAAATATCAAAGAGTTATTACACTTTTTTTTTAACTTGACCTGTTCTGTGGTATAAATCGTGTCTCCGATAGTGTAAAAATATAACATTATTATTTTATATTCTCGCAAAGCCCCGGGAATCGAAATAGAACAGAAATTAGAGCACTATATATCTGTTTCTTCTTTAAAATCCCTTTAAATAAAGTCTCTTTAAATAACGATCTTTTTCTTCTTTTCCGATCTTTTTGATATTTATCTATTTTTACGCGACACATCCATCTGGATGGCGTCACGATATACACAAATGATTTCAGAACCGTATTTTTCGGAACCATTTAATTACAGCATCGGTTCGTCAAAACTCGCGTTTTTATGTGTTGCGTGTCGTCTTACGATTACCGCCGCGTACCGACGCCCTTCTGATAATCACGCGCTAGCTAAATATTCATGAATCTCGTTACAATGTACTTACGACGACGGCCGGCGGAGAGAAATATACCGATTTAACAGCGCCGCATATTTCCACACGTCATGTGTAAAGATAAACTTGTACTGCAAACAAATCTGCCGGCCAGCAGTGGCGATACAGTTTGACTCGAATATTACGTAACCGTTTGGTAAAATTGATCGCCCTTGTTATTTTACTATCCAATGAAATCAAAATGTTATCGTACCGCCATCGATACCTTTGCACAGAGCCAGGGTATACATAATAATTTATAATTACATTTTCGATTTCAGTTAAATGAATCGTTGATGAATCGCGAGAAGTGGGTGTCGAGCGATTGGCGCTGATGTCGCGCTGCGGGATTTTTACAACTCCGCGGAAGCCGCGATATCGCAACAACTTGTCATTGTTCGCCGTCGCCGCGCCTCGCCGGCGACACTTTTTTTAATAATTAAGACACCGCCGCGAGTGTCGTTAGCGCTACACGAAATACCCGGGGACGCGCCGCTCGGGGAAGACAATAGGAGCCGAGCGCGAACAATCGAGTTCGTCCGCTCTCAATCACCGTTCACGCTACAACGAATCTATTCGAAATCCATTCTCCCTCTTTCTCTCTCGCGCCCACGTATAAATGCCTTAAAAGGTCGACATCCGAGGCGGATCGCGCGCACTCATGACAGGTGCGCGGGTCGAGGGCGGAGGGGCGGGAGGGGAGAGGCAACGGATTAATTAATGGGCAGGACAACCGTAATTAAGCTTAATTAGCTCGGTCGTTAGTCACTGTGTTTATACAGTATGCTTGTGGGTATCGGCCGCCGCGGCCGCGCCGCATCGGTAGTCATCATTATCGACGAGCGTATACGCGGCCGCCGCCGCCGGTGACAAAAATCCGCCCGATACCACCGCGCGCGGCCGCGCGAGTTTCGTGTGTTCCGGAATTTTATTAAACTTCACGCGAGAACACTACACGTGTATCTCGCGAGATCGTGTTCGTTGTGGAATCTCCCGCAGTATCTTTCCCCCGCGCAATATATCCCGAAAATGTCATCCAACAAAGAATTTCGCTCTACGCTATACGCTTGTTCATTCGCGCGCGGACAATTTTTGCGGAAATTTCGAAATACTGACGCACCGATGTTTTACAATATAAAGCGTGATGCATGCACGCTGTACAATAATTAACATGCAATTTATGTAAATAAATTAAAATACGTGAAAACATGTGAAGATTCATTTACGAGAGAGGCTCCCATTGGAGGACCATTTTTATTTTTGTTAAAAAAAAAATGATTCTATCTTTATTTGTTAAAAACGTATCGTTAAAAAAATCCGTAAATAATACCCCCCATGGATATGTATAAATTTTTACGAACGCGATTCTTTTTTCTTTTTACTTCAATTCGCTTCTGCATAATCGCCTTAAAACTCGCACAGTTAAGTTTACATATTCGAAATATAAATTTTCTGTGTGGCGTTATTCGCGTACGTAAGCGCGATAACAAGGGCATTACCGTAAATGAGAACCTGCGGCTAACACCTTTTAAAGCATATCTCAACAATCTCACATTGAGATACTAATGCCGATATGATACTGCGAAGATTGCACGGAGGTGCGGTAGAATTATAGACTGTAGAGCGCAACATCTAATAATGTACGCTAAACTCGAAAGCTCGTTTCCGGCAATACGTGCGTTCCACCGCATGATCAAGACTAGCCACGTGCATAGAAGGAAGCGCCATAAATATTTATTACGAATAAAAGTTATTAATTGTTTCGCCGCTTAATTCCCATCCGCCACGTGATATATTCGTTTTAATTTACGAACTCAAGTCAATGAGTTTTTGCCGATCAATAGCTTTGAAAATTAAATAAGTGGAATCTTAAAGTAACAAAATTATCGATATTACAGGTTAGGAAATTCTTCAAATTGGCAATACAAAATTGAAAATTCTTTCCCAGGATTAAAGTAGATATAAAATAAAAGTGCGAAACAGTCGACTTAGGCTTAAGAACGGAAAAAAATTAAATTAATGATAAATATAATCTATATATGTATAATTTTTTAACTTCTTTTCATTCTTAAGCTTAAGTTCCGAGCTTTTATTTTATGTCTACTTCAATTCTGGGAAAGATTTCAATGTACCGCCAATTTGAAGAATTTCCTAATGTCCTGTAATATCGATAATTTTGTCACTTTAAGATTCTCAATTCTGAAAAAGAATTTTCAATTCTGTACAGCCATGTAATAGAGAATTTTCTAATCTGTGATTCCGTATCTGTAATACGGGATAATTCCGTTACTTTAGGATCTCATAAGTTTATTTTAATCTAAATCAACATTAGGGTAAACGAGAAAAAATACAAATAGGACTTTGTACCGTCAATTAAAGAGATATTATCGTCAGCCATGGTTTACGGCGTGAGCCTCACGCTACTGAAATTTTACTTTAATTACTTGTAAATAACGTATTAAGCGAATGATCAACCGGTTTGGAATTCGAGGACGGTCTCACTCATCGTCGATCGGCGTAAACCACTTCGGTCTTCTTTCGAAAATAAATTGCAGCGATCTTGCGCGAAAGCAAACGTCTCCCTCTCTCTTTGCTCTTACATAATTATCGTCGTGTTTAAATAATTGAATCACAAATCGAAGCTGGGAACTCCGAGCAGCGAGCGTTAATGCTTTATTTAGCGAAAATGGAAGTTTATCTTCGTTTCAAAATATCGACGCGCTGCTATCGACTGGTCCCCTCCCCCCCCCTCTCTTTCTCTCTCTCTCGCATAGTACAGTTAATTATGCTTGCTATCCTTTTCGCATCAACTGCAAAATGAGATTTTAATGAAACAATTTCGATTTTATCGAAATGTTAACGAAACTGGAAGTGTATCTTCTGTTCGCAAAACCGTATAATTGCAAGCAACGATTTGCCTAATTAATTTTAACGTACCGGAGTATAATGGATTACACGTGCTCGTCTTATTCCGCAGGCATAAACATTTTGCGACGTAAATCGAGCTTTTCAGCCATACATTTTCTCACCTCTTTCGTCGCAAGTGTATATTATCGAGAAGTCCCCCTCTTTTTTTTCCTCTCGGGCGCGCACGCGGCGTTCTCGCGCGCCGTAGCTTCGCCTCGTCGTCGTCGTCATCGTCGTCGTAGTTCGTAAATAAAATGGACGCGGAGACCGGCGTGCTGATCGTGCGGTACCTTGAATAAGTTAGAAGGGCTCGTTCGCGCGCGCTCGATCGATACCCCCGCGGGCTCGAAAGCCCGAAACGTCGACGACGCGCGTCGCGTCGCGTCACGTCGCATTGGCCGCTCTCGTTCGCTCGCTCGCTCGCTCGCTCGTTCGCACGTTCGTTCGTTCCTTCGTTCATCTGGCGTGAACGTCTCTTCGAATGGACGGACCGGATGGATCCGGTCTTAAAAGCACGAAACGCTCTCGGGAAGCCACTCAGCGTGATTTCTCTGGGCAAACCAGTTTCGCGCAGGCTGGCGAGCGATGCGTCGCCGTCTTCTCTCTCGGATTCCGCCGGTGCGGTGCCCGGAGTTCTCGGGCCCGGGGAGGAAAAAAGAAGCGTTTTGGCAGCCGAACGAGCGGAGCGGTCAGCCTCGTCCCAAATATCAGGCGAATGCGGCGCGGCGCGGCGGGTCGATAACGCGAGACGCTCCGCTCCCGTTCGTTGTTGCCAATGCAATCGTTCGTCCGTCCATCCGTCTGTCCGTCCGTTCGGTCGCGCGGTATTTAATGCAGGAAACATATACGGGTCGTTCCCGGTCGGAAAATATTTCGACGCTCGCGGCCAGCGGAAATGACGAAGTTGCATAAACGCTAAGTACGTGTAACGATCCAAATTAATATATACATACAAGGTAAACGGCGGAAAATTTGTGCGCAATACTAGTCTCGCGATATTAGTTCTCGGTGACACTCGATTGCAACGATATCGAAAATAATATTGAACCGTAACGTTCAATGTGGTGACTTCAGAATCTGTGACTTTGAATATGTTTTTTCTTTTTTAGACGAAAAATTTTAAAAGTTGTGAAACGTTTCCTTTTTCAAATTATCCATCACAAGTTGAAACGTTGAAAGGTGGATACACGGTTACCGTATTGTAACACAGCAATTGGGTAATAATAATAAATCTACGAAAAGATGAGAGCCATAAATACGATGAGCCTTAAACACCGTGCCCCTTACGCCATAAGCACGTGATTACGATATCCTTGGTACGGCATGGCGCTATTATGACACACTTACGTTATAATAATACGGTTACGACCAGTTTTTACAGTGATAAGTAAAGGAAAATTCGCCTTTGTTGGTTGTATAAATTACTGCGATTAAATGCAATTTAATTATAATGCACACCGTATCGAAATACAAGCAAATTTGTAACGACGATCGATTTCTCCCCCTTTATACACGTTGGTTCAGCGAGTTTATCCGTATTGCATCTGGGATCAAAATCCGCGGAGAAAAATTAATGAATGGTATATTCACGCGCGGAATTAAATTCAATTTTCATCAATATCCACGCGGATGAATTACGTGAAACGCAAATATAATTTTATTATCGGTAACACTTTTCATCGTGTTCTTCACCGAAGAAACGTTACACGACGAAAATAATGATTGAATCTCGAAGTCAAGTTTTTTCTCGATATTCTTAAATCACAAAAATGTATATCTTCGAATTTTTTATCGGACTTGTGTACACGAGCACACAGAGAAGTTCTACGATATTTCTCTACGTTTTCTTACTCACTTTACTCTCGCCTCGCACCGAAGGATATCGCCGAAAATCGATCGCGGAGTCCCTCGGGGCAGTGAGAAGGCCGCTAACGAGAGCCAGGGAACTCGGCGGCAAGAAAATGAGCGAGCGTAACAGCAAGAAAACAGGTTGGGAATATCGCACGGTCTGACAGGAGGGCTTTACGTGCGCCGCTGCTGATTACGGGCGCGATCGAGGCCCCGGCGTATCTGGCAGCGCGCGGCGCATCTCGTAATCGCGATGCACCGCCAGTTTTTGCGGCGCGTCTAACGCGCGAGCGGAACGGTGGCACGATTTCACGCGCATGCAAGAACGTGCGTACCGTACGTGGGCTGTTACTCCGTACGTACAGGGTGTTCCGACGTATACAGGCCTGAGCAACCTCGGGCCGATGGAAAATGATATAATCTCTCTCTCTCTCTCTCTCTAGAATAAAAAATTAAAATGTCAATAAAGCATCGACCGGGGATCGATGTGGATAGCTTAACACACGCGATTACGGGGGAATGTAAATGAACGGCTATATCTACGGCTCTTTAGGAACGAAACTCGAGCGAAGCGGAGCAAATGGAGAAAAAAAATTTTTATTTCAAGTTCATTTCCCTGTAAGTGCATTTTACTTCAATTCGCGGCTCGTTCATCAAAGTGTTACAACATGAGGAAACGTGAAACCGACGGGAGGCGAATTTTTGGCGAAGATGTGGCTCGACTTTGGATTCATCGAAGGCTCGTAAAGTTCGTCGGGGGTTACCTACGTTGTTGCGGAACAATCTGGATACACGCTGCCGGATTCTCCGGCAACGGCCTCTCGAGCTCTTCCACGCGGAAGCAAAGCATCCACAACGCTTCGCAAGACTTTGCGCCGCTCTAGAGTATATTACGCCCGAAACACACGACCGCATAAATGGCATAAAAGTTTCGCGCCGCTGCTCGCCGACTTACTGCAGCTCGTACCCTGCCAACGCTCATCCGCGGACGCAACTTTCAATTCTGATAACAGGGGAATGGCGCGCTTACACATCCGACACGATGCTATCGTCCTCATTGTACATTGCGCGATATCGAACGTTGTTTGCGGAGGGGCTACTTTTGGAGCGACCGAAGTAGATAAATTGAAGTTCATTATACTCAATTTTCTCTCGTTCTCGTCCGCGCAACGCGTATTTGCGAGGAAAGGATACAAATTCGCTCAATATTCTTATACATTAAACCCGTATAATGATGCTAATTGAATTAATGGGTCTATTTTTAAAAAATCCACCTTCATAAACACGGTTGACAAAAAATCCCAAGTTTTTTACGTTCAAAATTACAAAAGAATATAAAGATTTCCTCTTCGACTATAAATTATTTCATTGCACAGTGCAATGACTGTTTCATGGAGTAATTAACTTAATTATATCAGCGGTTTTTTTTATACAACTAGCGTGTGGCGTAAGAAACATTAAATTAGAATATCATGCTGTTTTTCACCGAAAATGTATTGAATATTTCTAAAAAAAAAAAAAAAAAGAATCGCATAAAAACGTGGGTATTTCCTGAAAATATTTACTTGATAACGAATGCGAATGTTGATTAAAACATATGAATGCGATACATAAATTGGATGTACTGTTACTACCCATCTGTCTGCAAAGGTGTAATCTATTGGGTATTTACTCGTTTCGAGAGCAATTCTACCGGGCGCGGAACTCGATATTTTATTGCTACGAATGATCCTTATAGGACGGACGCACTACTCACAAGGACTCGTCGTGTCGAGAGAGATGTTCGCGAAGCGTAACGAGAAGTCGTCGGAGCGAGTCGCCCTGTCTTCTTGTAAAAGAAAAAGAAAGAAAGGAAAGGATGGAGATCCGCCACTTCCGTCCAATCGTATCGCTACGAGCGCTCTTGCGTTCGCGGCGCGGTGAAACCTTCTTGTTACTCAATCAGCATGCAAAGAGCGTTTAACGAATGAAGCGCGCGACGATTTTCGCGTCACGCCGGACTGACACTTAACGATTATGGAGACACTGATCTGTGTTGCGAAATTCGACGTTGCGAGAATGAAATTTCGCGCGATGAGCGCGTGAGCAAATTTCATCCTCGTTTAAAGTCGACTCCCGATCTTCTCCCCCCC